CTTCTCATTCTTATTATACCCCCAGTCTAATTGACTTGGATTCTCCAGAGTCAATTAAAGCTGAATATGTTATCCCACCCAGTCATGGGAATGGATGCATCTCTCTATTTTCTTTGTAGGTTTATATAATCTTCTGTGGGGAAATGCTCATGCTGTCTATCTACAAATACACTCGGTTTTGGAAAGAATTTGGTCAAAATTGAGAGTGGGGACTCCTGTGGATCTGTTGGGCAGCTGCCTTACTAATGTTACTGAGATGTTTCTAGATTCCTCTCAACGTGCCAGTTGGGAATGAGTTCAGCAAACCCTGAAGGATAGCAGAGCCTCTGCCCCTGGGTCTGCTGTAGTTGCCCAGAGAAGTGTCTAATCAATTGAGAGAATGTAAATGGAGAGCTGAGTGCATCCATCACCTTGTAACTGAGTTTTCCTATAGATCACATGGTTTGAACTGGTGTTATTGATCTGGCACAAACTCTTCTGCATCTTTAATGGCCTCTTAATTGGGCAAAATGCTATTTTAAGAACATTCTAATGCAAGTACAGTTGTTATACAAAAGTGGGAAAAATTCAACAGTATGGTAAGCTACTAGAGCAACAGAAGTGTTTATTTCTTTGGTGAAATGGGTCTTCTCTTCACTGTGGATCCAGAGCAACAAATACAATGCAATCTCTGGTTCTTCTGCCCAGGAGCATGTAAATCGTTTTTAGACAAAGTTTCAAACTTCTATGCCAAATATTAGTCAGCTAGTGCCTGAATTATTATAATAACATTTAGCATTTGTATATTACAGTGTAATTTACTGAAATGTTTTCCTACACATTATATTTTTAGATTCTCATTGACCCCATGATTTGGATATAATTTAGAGTGATATAAAAGGTTTTGAGAGATTATGTAATTTAAGACCACATAACTACTAAGTAGTATTTCTGGCAGTCACACCTAGGTCTAAATTCCAAGTCCATACTTTTTTATTAAATCTTGTGAGATAAGGTTCATAATTACACAGCAGGGGCACACATCCACTTATGGCTCTGACTTGAGAGAAATTAAAGAATGCCTATAATAAGCCATCTTTCCTAGTGGCCTTCGGGGGACATATACAGTTTAACCATGTGAAAGCCTTATGATACCTAAAAATGTTCCAGGATAAGAAGCTAAAACAATGGCACTGATTCAAGAGATGTTTCTTGAGTATGGTCTATATCCCAGGCACTATGTTAGGCTTTGGCATTGTAAAGATGAGTAGGACATGATCCTACCCATGAGCATCTAGCTCTGAACTCATTACACAGAGGACACATGAGAATACGGAAAAGTTCTTAAAGATCCCCTGTCATACCAAAGGAAGGTTAAGTCAACATCTCACTCGAGTAAAGTTAAAAATCCTTGCAATAGCCCCCTGGTCTGCATATCTTATTCTTCTCATCTCTCTGACCTCATCTCCCCCACTCTCCCCTCCCATGACTCAGCTCCAACATCCCAGTTCTGTTCATTGTTCCCTGAATGAACCATTAGCAGTGACTGTTTCTTCTGGCCACAGACCTCTTCTTCCATAGATCTGCTTGGCTAACTTTCTTAACTCTCTCAACCATTATCTTCTTTAATATTCCAACTATATCTCCTCCCTCACCCTTCCCTGCTCTCCTGATCTTCGTATTTATTCTCCACCTTCCCTTTATTTTTATCCACAGCACAAGTTCCTCTATAACGTAGTGTAGACTTTCCTAATTTGTCTGGAGTTTATTATCTGACTCCACATTCTAGAATAAAGTTCCAAGACTTTATGTTTACCAATGTATCCCAAAGCATCTAGAAGGGAGAGCATCTAGCACTCCCAGTATTTGTCGAGTAAATACGATTCATACAGCACTTGGCTTTGTGTCACAAGCCCTCTTGTATATATTATTGTCATAATCTTACACGCTTCTGGGCTGTAGCTTTTACTCTCCTCATGTCACAGATATGGAAACTGAGAGCCAGAGAGCTTCAATATCCTGACTAAGTTCGTCTAAGTTCGTACAACTAGTCTGCTACATATTCCTTCCAGTACACCATGCTGCCTCAATCTGGCAAGGAGAAAGATTTAGACCGTTGGTGCATAACTGCTATGTCTGGGTAAAAGGAGTAGGCAGCTCAGGGTGAAGAATGCTCAGGTACAGGCATGGCTAGTTAGCAGAGGGTGGAGGAGTACGCTTCAATATTTGAGTCTAGGGGAAACAATTGGGTAATACGAAAAGGACCAGAAACATCCAGAGCAGAGCTGTGCCATTAAACCATGATAAGGATCATTCCATATAGGAATCAGATGGAACAGGGTTGGAGGTAGGTCTCACAGGAAGCCAGAGCAGAGTGAAAACACTGAAGTTGGTCTCAAACTGAAAGGTAAGCTACATGGGTCTTTAATAGACGGAGCTCCTTGATGGTGTCTTCTTCGCGCCTCAGCCTGGTGTGCATGCTAGACCATTCTTAAAAAAACTAAATTTTAACCACAAACATTATTCATTCTGTATATTATCTTCCCTTTGGATTAAAGCATACTTCTCCAGGTCTCTGTCTGTCCACTGAATCACAATCTTCCTTGCTACATCCATTCCTCAGAAAATTTCCAACAATATCTCCTGGCAGAAAACAATGAGCCAGGTGTCTGGGGGGCAGCAATGTGGTAAAGAGATCATGCAGACTCAGACCCGTCTATTCTGAATTCTAGCCTCACCAGTTGCTAGCTGTACGACCCAGGAAAAGTTGCTTATGTATGGTAGCCTCAGTTTCCTGAACTGATAAATGGGCTTAATCATATAAAACTGTACAGTTGCGAAGAGTGAACATATATCAGATATTCAAGGGCACAGTATTGTGACCAGCAGATAACAGGTGCTAAACAAGTGGTAGTTATTTTTTGCTATTTTTGCTCTCTTGAAAACGTGTCACCAGGATTTGACCTTCCTGTTCAATTCCAAAAGTATTCAGGAAACTTAGCCACCATGCTAGGGACATAAAGAACAATCATAATTGGGAGCAGTGGGAGGTAGTGGTGGACACAAAAAAACCCCAAAAAAACAAAACCAGAACCAAAGAAACTTAAAGAAGAACTGTCCCTTACTTTCACTATTTACATCATCGAGGTGCTTGGAATTTTAATGTTTGGAATTTAAATGAGAAAGACATTTAAGGTTTGACCACAGGTGTTCAAACTGCAATTAAAAAGATCTAGAATTCTGACCAAAGAGAAAAGATGCAACCATTAAAGTTGAGACCCTTCATAACTTGAAATGAATCAGGTACCACTCAGATTTTTATGGGCCCAAGGTGAGACATGCCTTTTCTAGTTCCCCCTTTATCCTAAACTATACACATTAAAGAAGTCCAGAATGGTATCTGAACAGATGGCCATTTGCATAATTAAAAAAAAAATTCCACGGTACATGTCACAGTTGACCTAATGCTTCACTTGGGGTCCAGTAGTCCTTTGGATGAAATTATCAAAATGCCCGACAGGTCCTTTTTCCTTATTAGGGTGCTAAGTTCACGACAGAATCAGTGGAGAAAATGAAAATAAACTGATTCCAGTTTAGGCTTCATTTAAATGAAGCACCTTAAGGTGCTCATAGATAGATTTTTAGGAAGGAAAATAATGGGGTAAGTTGCTCATTCATTTCACATTTACTGAGCACCTATTATGGTGTAGACATTATGTGGCAGGCACTGAACTAGACCTTGGTGCGTCAGAAATAAATAGAGCAGGCATGACTTTATCCTTGAGGAACTTAAAGGCTTCCTGGGGAAGAGAATAACAGACTCTGTGTTGTAAATCCAAGAAGTGTTGCTCATATACTGATAGATGTCGATATAAGATACGTTTGTGACTCTGAAGAGAGTTTTCGGTTTTCCCTGAAGAGTTGTTCAGGAACAGGCTTGGTAGCTTGAGCTGAGTTTTTAAACAGTAAAGAGGCACTCTGAGTGAATGAAATCATGGAGGGGATTCTGAGAGGGAGACATTTGCACAGGATGCATCCAGTGATCTGCATGTTACCCGCTTACCGGTGTGCCTGCAGCATCGAATTCAAGTAGGAGGTCGCGGGTCGCGGAGGTGAGACACAGGACTGGAGGGGTAAGAAGGGCCAGGTCATAGAGGGCTTCGCATGCCCTGCCAAACGACCAAGACGTTACCCTGAAGGTTCCGGGGGCCATGCAGAGATCTACATTAGACATGCCAATCAGATTTGACACTTAGAGAGATGAGTCCCAGAGGAATGCTATGAAGTCCTGAAAGGTGCAAGCTTAGCGAAGGGGAACCTTATAGGACATTTTTAGAAGAATCTGGGTTAAAGATATTGAGGGTCTATACTAAAACCTGCCATTTGTTAATTGTTTCTAAAAATTCTCCCAGGTGTCTCTCCTTTTGGGGGTATCCCACGGGATGGTCCCCACTTTCTGCCTGTCTCTCGTTTGTCCTGACCAAACTGCCCTGGCAGGCGGGTAAAAAACAGGCGATAAGTTTTGACCAAGTCACCAGAACAGAACAAGGTACACAGAGACCCACTTCCAGCTCTCCAGCTCTCAGAGCCAGGGATCTGAGAAAGTACTGAGAGAAGAAAGGCATTGCAATTAGGTTTTTCATTAGTGGGATGGACAAGAAACAGCCGAGGCTAGAGGAAATGTTCTGTTGGGGAGGCCAACAACAACCAGAGCGGAGAGAAGAAAGAAATGCAAGCAAATGCTGAGGAATCCAGACACATGACCCTTACAGACCTTTGCATATGAGTGAGAGCCAGACAGGAGAGAAGCGGGGTTTGGAATCCTCACTTTTATTTTAGGAAATCTAAAATGGTCCGGCGAGAGACACCAGAAAAAAAAAAAAAAGTCCAATTGTTCCGCTGAGAAAAACAGGAACACTCAAGTAGAACAAAGTCACCCCGTGCCCCCCTCCCCCCACCCCAGTTCTTTCTTTCTTTGGAAAAGATTGCAGAGAGGGCGTTTGCAAGTGATTCTGCTGGCTGTCTGTGAAATTAAGGAAAGAAAAAAAAAGAACAAGGAAATGAGAGAAAGCAACTATATTTGAAACAATGAGAAGTCTCTGGAGTTGTGCTTAATGGCCTTTGTCACCCTGCAGGGGCATGAGGAGGGCTGCTGATGAGTCAACTGTCCTGGAAACAGACCTGCGTTAAGTAGAGAGCCAGAGAGGCATCCGCAAAGATGAAAAGATTTCGTTTAAAACACAGAACGCTGGATTGCCCTGTGGCTCGCACGGTACGTAACTTGGGTTTCCAATTTCTTGCTCCGCTCCTGCAGAAGTTCACGTATTTTATTGAAAAGGTATGAAGACATGCACAATGGGTAGTATCTACAGCAAAATATATACCGTACGAAGCATTGGAGAGCAGAAATCCCCAGCAGATCTTGTAGATAAAATGCAGCCACGTTCAATTAACTGTACTAAAAATAAGCCAAAATGCGGAAGTGAATTTAACAACTCATTCACCCTTTAAAAGGCAATGTATTTCAAGTAGCAACAGTGGAATAAGCAATGGTCTAGGACATTTTAAAGAGATCTATGTCAAAGTTTTCTACGTTACCCATGAAGGGGTGGAAGAGAAGGAGGAAGTACTTGGTATTTAAAAGCCAACAGCACTGGGTTTTGATTCTTCCTTATTCTCCTAATCATTAGAGATTTTGTTCCTTAATTATCTCCCGTGCACGGCTAGTTTTATCTTCTCTTGTAAATCCTGGAATGTAAGACTGGAAAGGCCCTTCGAGGTCTCTGGGAAGTCTCTATAAATGAGAAAACAGAGGCCCAGAGAGAAATGGCTAATTTTCAGAGTTTAATGATTGTCCTGGTAAGAGAATATTTACTGAATCTAGACTCAGAATTAATCTCAGAGCTGGGAATTTGCAGGTGAGGTGCGGATATATTTTATTTTCTTGTGCCTCTTCCTAATTCAGTTCATTGATGGCTTAAGCAGCCCTCTCAAGCAGCAGGTTAAAAGAAAATGCTGGGTTTTATATGTTTCCCTGATTATCAGAATAAGAGATGGCAACAGGTGTAGGTCAATCTGCTTGTTTGAAACCCTGAGACAGTTGTTTTCCAAGTTTAAAGAGAATGTAATCTTGCTCTCTTGCTGGCATCCATGAAAAATATATAGGCAGCTAACAACTTTGGCATGCAAAGAGGCCACAAATGGTGCCTAGGGCATTAAGAGTCTGTCCCTTAAGGTTATAGAGATGAAGCATTGCGACCAAACTTCCAAACAAGAAATTGAAAGCCAAGGGAAGAAAATGAGTTCTCCTCTCAAGATCTTCTCTTGTGTTTTACTTTTTATAATAAAATATGGACGAGGATAAATTATGCATTACTTTTTGCTTTCTTATCTCCCCTTTGACTTGTAGTGTTTACTGCTGAAATTTACCCAGATTATTTCAGCACAAGATTAAAAAAATGGTAAAACCATTGACATTCTAAGTTAAATTGTTCCTGCCATTGACATGCAACTTAATGAAATGCTGCCTCCAGTCCTTGATGAAACCCATTCCCACCCTGACTGGCTGCTTCACTTCCTCCCTCAATATCGCCTTCTTGCTTGCCATGAAGAATTTGGTTCTTTGATGAAAATCTGGGAATCTTGGGTCATTTATGCAGTGTCTGATGTTAGTAATCCGTTGACTCTACATGGATAAGGCAACATAAAAGAGAGGCACCTTTTTTTTTTTTCTTATGTAAAGGTTAACTGTGACTTGCCCATCCCATTCACTTATTTAAGACATATTTACTGAGCCTACTGTGTGCCATACTTACTCTCCTTAACGTGTCCTCAGTCTTAGTTTCTTCCTCCATGCTGCCACAGTATGATTTTCTGAAAGCCCAAATGTGATTTTTCACTCTGTTAAAAACTCCCCAACGGCTTTTCATTGCCTACAGGAAAAACTCTAAAGTCTTTAGCATAACTTTCTGGGGTTTGATCCCTATTTAGGTCTTCAATTTCACCTCCTACCAATTCTGTTTCACATTTTCTGTGCTTTTGTTCTACCATCACATTGGGTATTCTCACTGGCCATGCCGGTATTTCTGCTCTCATCCATCTGGGGAATCTCACCCCACGTGTGGGGGGAAAATCAAATGTCTCAGATTTTCCTTCACCAACCCATCCACGCTGTCTTTTCTTCTTGTCCTGTCACTATCCCACTTGAATTCTGTCATTCAGCCAATAAGTACTTACTGGAAGCTAACCCCATGCTAACTACACTCTAGGTGTGGTGAACAGTTTGCAGGCAGAGTCATCCAGGAGACACACCATCACTGATTAATTGCAATTATGGTAAATGCCACCAAGGAGAAGTGCAGGATTCTTTAAGAGCGTAAGGCAAGGAGGAGGCGCGTTATTAGGGTGTTGGTGAAGGCTTCTATTATTACAGCTATTAGCTAATATTACAGCTATTAAACTGGTACAACCGTCGATTTATTTTACTTTATCACTTACACACATGAATTCCTGGGGGTTAAGGACCCATCTTATTCATCTTTCTGTTACCAGCGACTAGCAGAGTAACTGACATATTGTAGAAATACAGGATATGTTTTCAAACTCAACACCTTATGCAAACGGCCAGACATCAACCCTTGCCTTTCCTATTAAGTTTTGATATTTTCTCTGTGGAAAAACAAAGTATTTGTCCTGTGAGGTAGGTTTTATTATGCTCATTTGGTGTGTGACAGACTGGAACTTTGAGGAGGTAAGAATTTTTTTTTCAAGTGTTTATATCCCTAAAATACCTGGAGATCTTACAAACTGATACATTTACGTACAAATAGGAAAAAAAAATGTAGGCTGATGAATTGAAGAAATATGATTGGCTCATGGCCATATGAAAGGATGCTGTACCTACCCCAAGAGTGATCAAGGAAATACTGATTAAAATGAGATGATAGCATCAGATTGCATTGTTTTCTAATCACCACCCAACCTCACTTAAGGACTGGGTTTCTTTTCCAGGTTCACACAATGCTTTCTTCTACTTGATTCTCACTTTGATGTCCATGCTTGTCTTCATCATGCCAGTTTATTTTCTGAGTGTTATGGCCCCAGATGTAGCCTGGATACATTTTCTCTCTTTTTCTGTCTTACTATTTTTTAAAAAGGTGTTTAATTGATTATCTGTTTTTCAGCAATTTGAATTAAATTAAATAAGCAGATTTTGATTTCCATGTTTGTCTTCATCATGCCGATTTATTTTCTGAGTGGTATGGCCCCAGATGTAGCCTGGATACATTTTCTCTCTGTTTCTGTCTTATTATGTTTTAAAAAGGTGTTTAATTGATTATCTGTTTTTCAGCAATTTGAATTAAATTAAAAAATCAAATTGAATCACTCAAGAACCACGAGTGTCCAAAGTAAAACAAATAGCCTCCCTCTCTCTTTTTTTTCCCCAAACCTGCTAACTTTGTTTATATAGTTATATATGTCCCACATTAAAAACATTTTGATTTGATTCCTTTTCGTTTATGAAAACGGATCAGATAATATTACTTTGTAGTTTTTTTCTTTATGCTAAAGCAAACCGTGAACACGCTTCCAAGTCAATACAATTAAAGCTATGTCTGCTTTCATAGATCTTAGTATTTTGTAGCATGATGTATTATTATGAAAATATGCCCCACGTGACTCAGATTGGTACCAGTGTTTTGCTTGTACATGCAATTCAGCAATTTGTCCTTATCTTTCTGTATTGGCTCACTAATATTGTATTTTATTATTATCCAAAGTTGTATTGTTGAAGCAAAATATGTACGCACTTTTAATTTCACTGTTTTATTTTTCTGAGTGTGGCTGACACAATGTTACACTACATTGTGTCAAGTGTACAACTGCTCCATATGTCATGCTATGTTCAGCACACAGTGTTATCACAATCTTAACTGCCTGTATTCCCCTCTGCTATGCCTTTGCCCCCATGACTGTACTTCTTCATTTTCATAAAAATTATCAGATTACTTTCCGTAAGTGTCTGGATATTTACTTTCTCACCCAAAATATATGAAAGTGCCCATTTCCCAACATCCTGACCAGTCCTTGATATTTACAATCTCCTTTCATTTTTGCCAATCTGATAAGCAAACAATACCCATTAAATATTTGTTTTGAGGGGCGCCTGGGTGGCTTAGTCAGTTGAGCATCCGACTTCGGCTCGGGTCATGATCTCTGTGAGTTCGAGCCCTGCGTCAGGCTTTGTGCTGACAGCTCAGAGCCTGGAATCTGCTTCAGATTCTGGATCTCCCTCTCTCTCCGCCCCTCCCTTGCTCATGCTCTGTCTCTCTCTCTCAAAAATAAACATTAAAAAAAAAAAAATATATATATATATATATAATTTGGTTCGATTTTCATTTCTGTTGGTATCTATGAGATTGAACATCTTTTCAAGTGTTTATTATTAGTCATTTGTATGTTCTCTTCTATGAATTGCCAACTGTATTCTTAGCATTTTTTTTTTCCTGTTGGACAGTTGGAACATTAATCCTTTGTCTGTTGATACATTGTACATATTTTCCTTTATGTTTACTGATTTTATATTTTGTATTTAAAATTCTTAATTACTTCAAAGTCATAAAATATTTTCCTGTATTCATTTCTAAGTGGTTTAAGTTTGGCTTTTCTTATTTAAATCTTTATTTCTTTTATCTATTTTTTTCACTGGGTTTTATTTTTGGCTTTTTTTCTTTCTCTGAACACAGAGCTCTTAATGGTATCTATCACTTGTTACTTGTATTATGCTGTGCATCTCCAATATGGTCATTGAATCCTGGCAGTATTTTCAAGGTATTAATGGGGAACCGTTGAGGATTTCCAGTCAGGGGAGGGACACAATGATTGACTTAATTATTATAATTTTCTACTATAGTAAACACAGCTCCCATTTATTGAATGCATATTATGTTCTAGGACCTTTATGAAAATAATGTATAATCTTCTTAGCAAGCCTGAATGGTGGTTGATACATTTAAGTACACATATAGGAAAAAAATATAGGCAGATGAATCAAAGAAATATGATTGGCTCCTGGCCATATGAAAGGATGCTCTATTTATCCCAAGAGTGATCGAGGAAATACTAATTCAAATGAGATGGTAATATCAGATTGCCCATTTTCCAGATGCAGAGATTGAAATTCACGATTTAAGCCCGGGCCTGGCATACAGAATGAAATGAACAGTGAAGCCAGATCTTGTGTTCAGGTCTGTCTGACTCCAAAAAGCAAACCACCCTGCCTCTTAACCACTGTTCAACTCAGGTAAATATCCTTGCCTTTCTCTTTCTGTCCACCATATACCACGCCGTTCCTATCTCTATGCTTTTGTTCCCCAAATTCCCTTGGGTTGTAATTCTTTCTTCCTGGGGGCTGATACAGAAACAGAAAGGATTAGAGATTCAGTGGTCAGGTGTGGGAGTCAGTAAGACCCCACGCTGGGCAAAGGAAGGGGGGACATGGAGTTAACACGGCAGACAAACATCCAGGGAGCGTGAGAATCCAGGGTCAAGAGCCACCTCCACCACATATGAGCTCTGTGAGGCCAGTGAAGGTGAATGCTACTTAAGTTTTTATTCTATATATTTGTAAATCTACAAAGTAAAAAGTCATTCTTAATGTGTACAGGTGTTTTATAACTCACTTGATAATTTTAGTGAAATATAAGGCACCTGAAAAATGTTTTTTAAGTGGTAAAATTTTTAAATTGAGCATTCAACCCTTTTTAGGCGTGCGTCTTTTCTGTCTGTCTACACCCGTGCTGGCCAACACAGTGGACTCTAGCAAATGAGGCTACTGAGCTATTGAAACGTGGCCAGTGATCTGTTGTAAGTTTGAGATGCCTACCAGATTTTGACGACTTAGTACAAAAGAGAAGATAAATAAACTTACTAATTTTTTAGTATTTATTGATGATAATATTATCGATATATTGGATTATATGCAACATACTAAAGTTAATTTAATCTGCTTCTTTTTACTTTGGTTTATGTGGCTACGAGAATTTTTTCTATGTATTTAAAAAATTTTTTAATCTTTATTTATTTGTGAGAGAGAGAGATAAAGAGAGTGCACGCAGGGGAGGAACAGAGAGAGAGAGGGAGACACAGAATCCAAAGCAGGCTCCAGGATCTGTCAGCACCGAGCTGTCTGCACAGAGCCCGACGCGGAGCTCGAACTCACGAACTGACTGAGCCATCCAGGTGCTCCACAAGACTATTTTAAATTACGTATGTTGCCCTGCTTTCTATTTCAATTGGAAAGCACCGACATACATAATGCATTTCTGTGGGGCCTGAACCCTGAGTTTCACTGAATGAATTGGTCTCCTTGAGTCCAGTTTTTCCCTTCCTATAATCCATCCTTCCCTTTCCTGCCAGAGTCTACTTCCTTAAACACAAAGCTAGTTTTGTCCACTCTTATGCTTAAACTCCTTTTGTTGGTTTCTCAATGCCTGATGAATAAAATCCAGCCCTCCCAATACAGCTACAAAGCTCCCCCTGGCTTTCCCTGCTTCAGTCCTCAACTTTGCCACCTTAGGAAGGTAAGCCACTCTTACCCCTCTGTGTATGTGCCTGATAATGAAGGTGACATCTAATTTTTTGTTCAAACAATGTGGGACACTTTCCCGATGGGAAGAGGGCACGGTCAGTGACAATATTGGGATAACATTGTTGGCATAAACTGGGATTGGCCCAAGCAAGCCCCTTTTGTAGTCTAGCTTTGCTGAGCCACGAGTCAGGTGCATTTGCTTTTGTTGTTCCTTCTACCTAAAATACTCTTCCTTCCCTTTCCTGTCAGGGCTCCCTTCCAATCATTTCTCAGATTTCATTGTATGCATTTCTTTTAACGGTCCCCCAAGACCACCACCCATTGGGCACTCTGCTGGAGTGATTTCCGGGCCTATCCCGCCCTCTCTCCCATATTATTAGGGCTTCTTCCCCATCCCTCCACTGTTTGTCTATTTCTTGAGCACGTGAAACGTGTCTTTTTCTTGTCGTCTCCCCAGCACCCAGCCCATGGCCTTGCCTGGATTTGGCATTTGAAAAGCGTTTCCAATATTAATTGGCTCTTCCTTCTCATCCCAGCTAAAAGCCACAGCTGCAGAGGTCTGCTTTGTGGGCAGATTGATGGGGATGCCACCATCTTCCATTAGGGATTTCTCCAGCTGCAACTTAACCTCTCTGAGAGTCCACATCTCTGCTTCTGCAAGTGCATGTGCAGTTGGTGATTGTAGGGAATTCTTATTCCCAGATTATATGACAGCGGGCCATACAGAGGGATGAGAGCATGAGAGGCAGCGGGGAGCTATTTGTTGGGACAGTCATAAAACTCCTCGCCTCTCTCTCCTTGGAACACACAGACGGAGGCCGCTCTGCCCTGGGACCTTTCATTAAGGCTTGTAAGCAAAGGACACTGGTGCTCAGCAGAGCTCCTATTGGCCCTGGCATCCTCTCCACACCAGGGATCCCTCTGTTACTGTGCCTGGTGGGGAGGCCCTGGGACTCCTCCTCCTGGCGGAGGTACGTTTACAAAGTAAAAACGGTATTTTATTGAACCTGGAAATCAGAAACCATAATCACTAATGAGATTTATGAAATTCAACCCAAGCTGACTTTGACTTTCCTAATAAAACATAGCTCGCCTTAGCCTGCCCACACTATTGTCATAGTGAAAGCCTCCGGGGGCTAAGGCATGTCCTCTTTGAATTATGGATTGATTAAAAGGAGCACAACGTGTTATTTGAAGGTTGTATGAAGGCTAAATAATCCCATCTGCGTGAGACAGGATACGATATTTTATGCTGTCTACAGAGATTCGTCCAATTATGTTTTATGGTCTAGTCTCAAAGATTCCAGCCTCTTATTTTATCTAACTCTGCAGGTGAGCATTCAGCAGGACACACGCTCCCCTGAGGTAGAGGACATGGGGAAGTTGGGATCTGAAAGTCATAATTCAGCCTCAGCCCGAGGTCGTTTTATGGGATGAGGAACTCCCTTTGAATTCTTCCACTGTACCAAATAAGAAAGAAAAAGATGGGTGCAGATCCTGGTCTGACCGTGGAGGTGCTAGGCAGATCTGGTCATGGTGCAACCAAGGGGGTCCTTTCTGCATCGTGAAAGCCTGACTCAAGTTGGAGGTGAGCTTTGGGGTCAATCATATTCTGTTTTTAGGGCCCCAAAGAGGCTGGTATTGGGTGAGACCTCTATCACACAAAACTTTCAGCAGTTGTCCTTCTTTTATTTTTTTTAAACGTTTATTTATTTATTTTGAGAGAGATAGTGTGATCAGGGGAAGGGCAGAGAGAGAGAGAACCCCAAGCAGGCTCTGTGCCGTCAGCCAAGAGCTGGACGTGGGCTCCATCCCACAAACCAAGAGATCATGACCTGAGTGGAGATCAAGAGTCAAACGCTTAACTGACTGAGCTACCCAGGCGCCCCAGCAGCCGTTGCCCTGCTTAATGCCACATGTATTTGTTTTGACCATTGTTTCCAGATATTTCAACTCAGTTGTTTCCTATATTTATCAGGCTGTGATTTGGCTATTTCCTAACAGAAGGTCCACATTCATAAATTATGGTTAAATAAGTCGGGGCGCCTGGGTGGCTTGGTCGGTTAAGTGTCCGACTTAGGCTCAGGTCATGATCTCATGGTCCGTGAGTTCTAGCCCCACGTCGGGCTCTGTGCTGACAGCTCAGAGCCTGGAGCCTGCTTCAGATTCTGTGTCTCCCTCTCTCTCTGCCCCTCCCCTGTTCATGCTCTGTCTCTCTCTGTCTCAAAAATAAATAAACATTAAAAAAAATAAAAAAAGAATAAGTGGATGAAGGCCTGATTTCTACAAGCTCATTTAATGTCCTTGTTCCAGAAAATAGCAGACAAGGTGAGAAGGGCATTGATTTGTCCTGTAGCTTATCTGCAGACAAGCACGCTCTTTTTCAGAAGCCTACACTTTATTTATTGTAAGATGTGAATTCTGAGAAGCAGAATAAACACTATCAAACTTTCTTCCCAAATGCTCTCATCTGCTTTCTGGGGCAAGTGAGGTGCTTGATTTCAAATGTAAATCATTGAATAAATAATGAAATGGGAGTTACTATCTTCTTAGATATCCTTTTCCCTGCCAAGAATTCGTTGACCCCAGCATGGAGACCTGAGCTGAGCTAGGCCAGTCTGAGCATTTTTCCAGGTCTGTTGAATTTGGGAGAGGAAATCCCAGGTCCTCTCAGGAGGTGAAGTTGAGTGATGAGACGTGCCAAAGCTGTTGTGTCTGGGTTCTCTATCTTGTGGAGAAAGCTTCTGTAAAAGATGGAAGCTGGCCTGCAATAAATGCCAGGGGGCAGGAGAGAGAGAGAAAGAGAGAGAGAGAGAGAGAGGAGAGAGAGAGAGAGAAGGAGAAGGAGAAGAAGAGGAAGAGGAAGAGGAAGAGGAAGGATAAAAGGAGGAGGGGAGGGGGTGGAGGAGAAGAGGACCTTAGTTTCTTTTTTCATAGAGGCTAGTTTTATCCCTGATCTTTCTTTGGTTGTGTGAACCAACACATGCCTGTTATTTCCTAAGCTCATTGAGATCTGATTCTGTCACTTATAAGAACCAACTTCCACGACCAACATCAAAATGAAATCTTCTGCCCCTCTTAGCAAACCCTCTTCCAATTGCCCTGGGCATTTATAAATCAACTTAGTGGATTTAAAAAAAAAAATTCTGACTTCTTTTTCTCCGAAGTCAATAGTCGACTTTCTCAGAAGGACAATATCCCAAATTAGGCTTATTCTGTAGCTAAGAAATAGCCATATTTACTCTTCCCAACTTTTTCCACGTAGGTGATCTCATTCAGTGGTCGCTAAGGCAGACCTATAAAAACCACAGAGGATACTTACAGCTTTCGTGTTTGATAGGGGTATATGTTGGGGCAAGGCCTTCTGAAATGTAGATGCCCAAGACAAAATAAATACTCAAGAATGATAGTCTCTCTCCCCTTTCCTTTTTTCCTCTTCTCTCTATCTGTTTTTAAATTTTTTTTTTCAACATTTATTTGTTTTTGGGACAGAGAGAGACAGAGCATGAACGGGGGAGGGGCAGAGAGAGAGGGAGACACAGAATCGGAAACAGGCTCCAGGCTCTGAGCCATCAGCCCAGAGCCCGACGCGGGGCTCGAACTCCCGGACCGCGAGATCGTGACCTGGCTGAAGTCGGACGCTTAACCGACTGCGCCACCCAGGCTCTCCTTTTTTTTTTTTTTTTTAAATTTTTTTTCAACATTTATTTATT